TGTCACCCCCCCAATTCCCGCATGAGACTCCACACAATTAACGTCCCCATTATCCACAGTCTCTGCCAGAGGACAAGCCTTCTCCTGTGGCTCCACCACTATCCCCCCTGGCTCCTGTGCTTTCTCCACCAGTGAACTGGGCATTCTTTCTAGGTGCACAAACACCAACTTTCCTTTCTCCTTAGGTTTCACTGCCTTCGGGCAAAAATCCTCCTCCCCATCCTCAATATCCTCCGACGAGAAGGAGAAATCCCTGCCCCCCAATGGGGACTCCAACTCTGAAATAAACTGCATCATGCCGGCGCTTTCCTCCGGTCCCTCCAGGGATCCCCAATCCGGCCGTTCCTGCTGCTGTTGTTGCTGCTGCTGAGGTGAGATGGATTCCGGCCTCATACTTTCCACTGCAGACACACACTCCCCCGCTTGCAGCAAGCTGCTAGACGCAGGTTCACTCGCATCCCCAAAGGAATCTGACAGGTCTCCCAAAGATCCTTTCTCACCGGCCTGCCCTCTTGCTGCTGCCAGAGACCGCTCACGGGCATGCCTATAACGATCTTCATTGCTATATTTCTCACGAAAAATCCCACTTGCTGCCTTTAGGGAGGAGACCAAACTGGCCTGCTGGCGTACTGCCAGTTCCATGGACTCCAATTCAGGACCCATCACCTGCTTCTTAGCGCTCCTGGCCCTCTCAAAGCTGGCTTTAAACCTCTTTAGGTCTCCCTTCATTTTGGTCAACTTCTCCTCCTCTTTTCCAATCCGGGCCACATGGGCCGCAACACGGCCTCGGTAAGAGGCATACGACTCATTCCTTTTGGGCCCTTTTCCCAGGTCCTCAATGGGTGGTAGGCCAGGACCGGTACTTAGTGCCTCTGGGGAAGGACCCCCACCCGGATCACAACCGGGCTCCGCCATGGAGCAAAAGGGCCTAGACCCAAAATTGAGTCCCAGGCCCAGATGAGGCCTCCACAAACCTCAGAGCACTCACACACGCTGCTTCCAGTGACCACACCCACAGGGAAACAGGAAAAGGAAGTTGGATGAACTTTTGCACCATATTCTAATTTTTCGAGTTTCACCTGTAGATGTATCTGTGTTTGGAAACCATTAAATCGATGGGTCTAGTTCCACTTTAAAGGGAATGTGTAATTGTGCAAATGACTGGCCTCAGAAATAACCGTTCTCTGCCTGTATTCTACTGCTGGGGCAGTGAATTTACTCACAGGAAAGGGGGCAGCAGGAGACTAGTCTACAACCACTGAATGGATTCTCCATCTGAAAGGTGCCCTTTAAAGATGAACTCCAGACACAAAAACTTCCATTTAAATATATTCCTTAATAAACACAAAGGATATAAAACCACTTTATGGACACACTACTGTCAACTCAGATATTACCTTGTAAAAGTAGAAGTGATATGCTGTGCATAGCCTGTGTGGAGAGCAGAGCTGTGGGAGGAACCAAGCAATCCCCACCCACTACAGGCTGTCTGCAGAGAACTACAGGAGGGGGTGGAGACAAGACCAGTCACCCTGCGCAAGGAGAGAGAACAGAGCTATGGGAGGGGCCTAGCAGGCTCCACCTACTACAGGCTGCCTGCAGAGAACTACAGGAGGGGCTGGAGACAAGACCAGTCACCCTGCACAAGGAGAGAGAACAGAGCTATGGGAGGGGCCTAGCAGGCTCCACCCACTACAGGCTGCCTGCAGAGAACTACAGGAGGGGGTGGAGACGAGACCAGTCACCCTGCGCAAGGAGAGAGAACAGAGCTATGGGAGGGGCCTAGCAGGCTCCACCTACTACAGGCTGCCTGCAGAGAACTACAGGAGGGGCTGGAGACAAGACCAGTCACCCTGCACAAGGAGAGAGAACAGAGCTATGGGAGGGGCCTAGCAGGCTCCACCCACTACAGGCTGCCTGCAGAGAACTACAGGAGGGGCTGGAGACAAGATCAGTCACCCTGCGCAAGGAGAGAGAACAGAGCTATGGGAGGGCCCAGCAGGCTCCACCCACTACAGGCTGCCTGCAGAGAACTACAGGAGGGGGCGGAGACAAGACCAGTCACCTTGCACAAGGAGAGAGAACAGAGCTATGGGAGGGGCCCCAGCAGGCTCCACCCACTACAGGCTGCCTGCAGAGAACTACAGGAGGGGGTGGAGACGAGACCAGTCACCCTGCACAAGGAGAGAGCGCAGCAGTGAGTGGTCTGTATTACAGGAAGCTCCTGCACAGAGGGAAAGTCTCACACTGGATCACTGCACAGATCTGGAGTACACATGTCTCTTGTATTTGGACAATATTTGCTCATTCCAAAGTATTAAGCCTTCACTGTTGACCTCTCAATCTGAAAATACAATTTGCCTGGCCACTCCAAATCCACTGGCATGCAGTCTTTCGTGGTTCCTGAACATGTCTGCAGGTTAGGATCTTTGATGCCACTTGCTGCATATTTCTTCTTGGTCAATGACTCATTGGGGGGGTTGATTTACTAAAACTGGAGAGAGCAAAATCTGCTGGAGCCCTGCGTAGACACCCGTCAGCTTCCATGTTTTATTGTCAAACCTTAACCACTTCCAGTCTGGGTACTTTCACCCCCTTCCTCCCCAGGCCAATTTTCAGTGTTATCACATTTTGAATGACAAATGCGCAGTTATGCAACACTCTTTTTTTGAGACAGATAAAACTTTATTTTGGTGGTATTTATTCACCACTGGGATTTTTATTTTTTTGCTATATAAATGAAAAAATTGCAAACATTTTGGAAAAAAAAAGTGTTTTTCTTACACAATTTTGCAAATAAATAATCTTTCCTCATACATGTTGCCCAAAATGTATTCATCTATCTTTTTAGGAAAAAAAAAAAAATAGTTTATAACCAAACATAATTTAAAAAAAAAAAAAAAAACAATTTTTTTTTTTTATATTTGTTTTTTTTTTTTTTTTTTTTTTTTTTACATACCATCACCCTAGCAGTACAGTGTCACCATGACTTCTCTGTTCCTCCCCTTCTTCTTCTGATAAGACATATTGGGGTTTATTTACTAAAGCTGGAGAGTCCAAAATCAGACTCACTTCTGCATAGAAACCAATCAGCTTCCAGGTTTCATTGCCAAAGCTTCATTGAACAAGCTGAGGTTAGAAGCTGATTGGTTTCTATGCAGAAGGGAGTCTGATTTTGGACTCTCCAGCTTTAGTAAATAAACCCCATTGTGTCTTATCAGGAGATTTTTTTTACACTGATTGCTTTTAAATGAAAAATTCCAAACATTTTGAAAAAAAGTGTTTTTCTTACACAATTTTGCAAATAAATAATCTTTCCTCATACATCTTGCCAAAAATGTATCCATCTATCTTTTTAGGGAAAAAAAAAATAGTTTATAAACAAACATAATTAAAAAAAAAAATTACATTTTTATTTTTCTATATTGTTATTTGTGTGTGTGTTTTTTTTTTTTTTAACATACCATCACCCTAGCAGTACAGTGTCACCATGACTTCTCTGTTCCTCCCCTTCATCAGGAGAAGATTTGTTTTACACTGATTGCTTTTAAATGAAAAAATTCCAAACATTTTGAAAAAAAAAAAGTGTTTTTCTTACACAATTTTACAAATAAATAATCTTTCCTCATACATCTTGCCCAAAATGTATTCATCTATCTTTTTAGGAAAAAAAAAAACATTAGTTTATAACCAAACATTATAATTTAAAAAAAAAAAAAAAAAATTTTTTTTTTTATATTTGTGGGGGTTTTTTTTTTTTTTTTTTTTTTGTTTTTTACATACCATCACCCTAGCAGTACAGTGTCACCATGACTTCTCTGTTCCTCCCCTTCTTCTTCTAAGACATATTGGGGTTTATTTACTAAAGCTGGAGAGTCCAAAATCAGACTCCCTTCTGCATAGAAACCAATCAGCTTCTAACCTCAGCTTGTTCAATGAAGCTTTGGCAATGAAACCTGGAAGCTGATTGGTTTCTATGCAGAAGGGAGTCTGATTTTGGACTCTCCAGCTTTAGTAAATAAACCCCATTGTGTCTTATCAGGAGATTTTTTTTTTACTTTTTTTACACTGATTGCTTTTACACTCATAAAGGATGTAAAAGCAATCGTTTCTCCTTCTCTCTGGCTGCATTGCTGCAGCCATTGAGAAATACTGTGAGAGCTGTGATTGGTTGCAGCTTGTCACATGGTACAAGGCTGTTGTGAATAGCCCTGTACCATGTGACCTCTGTGATCATTCACAGATTTCACATGTAGTAAGCAATGATGTTACAAGTGACATCTTGCTTACTACTCTTCATGTGCTCACTGATCACATGAATCGGCACCTCGCACAGTGGTCCCGTACAGCGATCGATGTTCCAATTGCAGTGCCGTGCGCTCCCAGGCAATGGATGTGGGGGAACATTTAGAAATGTTGTCCCGCTTCAGCAGCGCTCCCGTCCGGCAGTTTATTTACATGGGTCGGATGGAAGTGGTTAATTGAACAAGCTGAAGTCAGAGGTTGATTGCCTGCTATGCACAGCTGCACCAGATCCAGTTTTAGTCTCCTCCATTGTATGAAAGGCAGAGGATCAGCAGGACAGCCAGGCAGCGGCCATTTTTAAGAAGATGGTCCGTGGTGAAGGCTTACAAATATCTGTCAGCACAGACGCTATGTTCTCTTACCTTCAGTGTCCATTGTGTCTACACTTTCCGGAGTAGGAGGCTCTCACAGATCATTCTCTGGTTTGGGTCTTGCCAAGAGGAACAACACGTAGAGGTTTAAAAAAAGTACAAACTTCAGACACACCTGATCATTGCAAGCATACCATGGAGTCCAGATCGCTCCCCGTTTGTTTGATCGCTCCTCACTTTGTAGGCCTGCATCCCTCCTGACACATGACAGGGTGCTTTGCTACTTTTCTTAACCCCTTGACGCTGACAGTACGCATATGCGACCTCTCCGGCGGCTAAGCCTTGAGGCCGATCGACCGCATATTGGCGTACCATCTGAAAATGACGCCGGGAGGATGGACGGGGTTTTAGGGTCATGTGACCGCCATGATTTGCTGTCACATGATCGGGAAAGGTCCCGATCGAAAGAGGAGATCGGGACCTTTCCGTGAGTACTGGACATGTGTGCCGGGAGCGCGCAAGGCGTGCGCTCTCAGCACATGTGTTTCTTAATTGTACGCAAATGTATGGCCGCTCGGCGTCAAGGCCCAGACACCGGGAGGCCGCACATTTGTGAGTGGCCGGCGCAAAGAAGTTAAAGCAAATCTATACCTTGCTGTCACGGCGGTCACATGATCGGAAAAGGTCCCAATTAGAAGGGGAGATGGGGACCTTTCCGTGAGACACCGACATGTTCTGAGAGCACGCACCCAGCACATATGTCGGTGTCTCACGGAAAGCTCCCGATCTGCCCTTCTAATTGGGAACTTTTCTGATCATGTGACCGCCCTGACAGTGAATCACGGCAGTCACATGACCATAAAACCCCGCCCCACCTCCCAGCGTCTGAAACCCCTTCACACCGGCTCGCCCCAGCGTGAAAAGAAGTTCCTGCGCCGGTAGGTGGACGGGGCTTAGTGTCATGTGGCCGCCGTGACGTCACGTCACGTCACGGCCGATCACATGATCGGGAAAGGTCCCAATCAAAAGAGCAGACCGGGACCTTTCTGTGAGTACCACACGTGTGCTGAGAGCGCGCAGGGCGTTGTTACATGAACGCAAATGTGCGGCCGCTCGGCGTCTAGGCCCAGACGTTGGGAGGCCGCACATTTGCTTGCGGCCAGCGTGATGAGGTTAAAGGTCTGGGAGGTGCCGGCGTGCAGAGGATAATCTGTTAGAAGCAGCATGCGGGCAGTCACAGACTGATCAGAATCTGTGGATTTAGACCAAGGTGCTGAATGAAGATGTTCCAAGTCCTTCATGCAAACATCACAGTATTCAGGCCAGTCGCTTTCAGAACATAGAACTTTGTTCATGAACACAAAATCGGACAAGGCTTCCACTCCTTCATTCGAGCCATGTATGGACCACACCTAAACATGGAGTACAGCGACCAGATTCCTGCCACTGAGTGAGACACATCGATGTGATGTCCTGGGGATGTCTACCCGAGCCGCACACTGTACGAGTCACTTTGGGTCAGGTAACGAACCCAGGTGTGGATGGCGGTTGGCCGTTCATTTCTGAGTCTGAGAAAACGGATCTGAAGGCCAGAACTGGTGTGGGATGGTACCTGAAAGGAGAGATTCACGGGAGGCAAGTCCAGGATGGAGGGCAGGGAGACGCATCCAGACACATCCACCTGTAGGAGACAGACAAAGCTGGGATGAAGCCTCAAATTCAGCTGGATGAAAAGCACTGCTCTAGGGCCATGTTGTAATATTTACCACCAACTTCTTCAGGTGCTGGTCTTTCTCCAACACAAAGAAAGTGTAACTAAACCCCGGACCCTGCATTCACTATATCTGGTCTCCCCAGACCCTGCATTCACTATATCTGGTCTCCGCAGACCCTGCATTCACTATATCTGGTCTCCCAGGACCCTGCATTCACTATATCTGGTCTCTCCCCGGACCCTTCATTCACTATATCTGCTCTCCCAGGACCCTGCATTCACTATATCTGCTCTCCCCGGACCCTGCATTCACTATATCTGCTCTCACCGGACCCTGCATTCACTATATCTGGTCTCCCCGGACCCCGCATTCACTATATCCGGTCTCCCCGGACCCCGCATTCACTATATCCGGTCTCCCCGGACCCCGCATTCACTATATCCGGTCTCCCCGGACCCCACATTCACTATATCCGCTCTCCCCGGACCCCGCATTCACTATATCCGCTCTCCCCGGACCCAGCATTCACTATATCCGCTCTTCCCCGGATCCCGCATTCACTCTATATCCGCTCTTCCCGGATCCCGCATTCACTCTATCCGCTCTCCCCGGACCCTGCATTCACTCTATCCAGGTCTCCCCGGACCCTGCATTCACTCTATCCGGTCTCCCCGGACCCTGCATTCACTCTATCCAGGTCTCCCGGACCCTGCATTCACTATATCCGGTCTCCCCGGACCCTGCATTCATTATATCCGGTCTCCCCGGACCCTGCATTCACTATATCTGGTCTCCCACAGCACACACAAGGAAATGCAATTATTTTAGTAAATATAAACTGCTAAATACCTTTTCTCATCAGTAGTATATAACAGTCATGTGACTGCTATCAGTGTTCAGCAGAGCACTGGTTAAAGCTTGTAGGAGGAGTTTTCATTCTGCTCTAGGAGGATGCACGACCTCTGACTGGACAGTGCTGATTGGCTCTGTGCTGATCACAAGAAAAAAAACCCTCTCTAGCAATACACACCAAACTGACCATGTGCAGAGGGACTCCACACGATATGTCTTATCAGGAGAAGAAGGGGAGGAACAGAGAAGTCAGGATCAAACAGCCTTTTTACACAATGCAGAGGATTAACCCCTTAGGTTCCACAGTGAGTATGACAAGCATGCTTTACTGCATATACAGACTGATTGTACTGTTGTGGGTTTAGTAACACTTTGAGTCGGCCGTAGATGGATCGAATTAGGCAGTGCAGTGTTGTACATCCTATATCTTTCTATATGTGTGCTGGAGTGAAGCCTACACAGGAAAAAAGTTAAAAAAAAGTGAAGCTAAAATATGTTTGCTGAAAAACTTGCAACTTGGTGAAAGTAGAGCAATATGGAAGATCACACCAGTCCAGTACAAAGGGGTGTATGTAGAGCAAAGTGGAAGATCGCACCAGTCCAGTACAAAGGGGTGTATGTAGAGCAAAGTGGAAGATCACACCAGTCCAGTACAAAGGGGTGTATGTAGAGCAAAGTGGAAGATCACACCAGTCCAGTACAAAGGGGTGAATGTAGAGCAATGTGGAAGATCACACCAGTCCAGTACAAAGGGGTGAATGTAGAGCAAAGTGGAAGATCGCACCAGTCCAGTACAAAGGGGTAAATGTAGAGCAATGTGGAAGATCACACCAGTCCCGTACAACTTGGTGAATGTAGAGCAAAGTGGAAGATCACACCAGTCCAGTACAAAGGGGTGAATGTAGAGCAAAGTGGAAGATCACACCAGTCCAGTACAAAGGGGTGAATGTAGAGCAAAGTGGAAGATCACACCAGTCCAGTACAAAGGGGTGAATGTAGAGCAAAGTGGAAGATCGCACCAGTCCAGTACAAAGGGGTGAATGTAGAGCAATGTGGAAGATCGCACCAGTCCAGTACAAAGGGGTGAATGTAGAGCAAAGTGGAAGATCGCACCAGTCCAGTACAAAGGGGTAAATGTAGAGCAATGTGGAAGATCGCACCAGTCCCGTACAAAGGGGTGAATGTAGAGCAAAGTGGAAGATCACACCAGTCCAGTACAAAGGGGTGTAGCTTCCCTTACTGATCTCTTACATTTTATAATGAGACTCTGTGGATGCCATTGGTGACCTGCTTGAAAAAAGAGCTGGTTCCCTGGCTGTCTCTGACTTAACAATCACTAATCTGACTTCACTTGCTGCACGCTTGATCCAGAACTCCTGCCCTGCATCCCGCTCGCTGCACGCTTGATCCAGAACTCCTAATCTGCATCCCGCTCGCTGCACGCTTGATCCAGAACTCCTGCCCTGCATCCCGCTCGCTGCATCGCTTGATCCAGAACTCCTGCCCTGCATCCCGCTCGCTGCACCTTGATCCAGAACTCCTGCCCTGCATCCCGCTCGCTGCACCATTGATCCAGAACTCCTGCCCTCCATCCCGCTCGCTGCACCTTGATCCAGAACTCCTGCCCTCCATCCCGCTCGCTGCACGCTTGATCCAGAACTCCTGCCCTGCTTCCAAGTATTAGGACAGTACTGATGTCCCTGGCTCTATATAACAGAATTGGGGGTATTTGTGAAGTACTGGCTTCCTTTCAGTATGTATTGAATCACTGATACTGAAACAACTCCGGAACCCAAAACCCACAAGTATCTAGACCAGAGTTTCCCAACCTGTGTTCCGTGGAAGTTGCTTGGGGTTCCCTGCGCAATATGCAATGTGTGCCTCTCAGAAGAGTAACCACTGACACCAATGATCTTTGCAGCTATTTGTAAGGCAGGGATTCTTCTCAATGACCACAAATATTAGGAGAATTAGTCCAACTGGCCATCACAGCAATGTACTGTGAGCTGTAAATAAAATCATTATTAGCGGGGGTTCCGAGGCCTTGTTATCTCAAGGGTCCTTCCATGTTAAGAGGCTGATTTAGAGGCAAGCATAGCGTCTCTCCTGGACACATCCAATCAGAAGCTACTTGCATACAGTGGTTCACGGTCCAGAACTGGACAGAAATGTTTAGCGGCCAACAGCCAGCCTGCTAAATTTGATGAGATGTTTGGAAAGTTGGGTGCATTTGAAAACCAATTCATAGCCATCTATACATTTCTCTGGCCATATGGAAGGAGGAGGTGAGGTGTATGCATAAGAGGTGCAAAATCTTCTGTTAGTATCCAGGATTGTAAACAGCCATCTCATCGAGGACACCTGCAAGTGCTGCCATACAGAAGTGCTAACCACTCAGCCACTGTGCCTGTGTGTGGGGGGGGGGGG